AAGCTGGAAGCATCACACTACCTACTTCAAACTATACTACAAGGCTACAGTAGCCAAAACTGCATGGTACTGGTACCAAAAACAGAGATATAGACCAATGGAACAGAACAGAGTCCTTAGAAGTAATGCCACACATCTACAACCATCTGATCTTTGACAAACCTGACAAAAACAAACAATGGGGAAAGGATTCCCTATTTAATAAATGCTGTTTGGAAAGCTGGCTAGCCATATGCAGAAAGCTGAAACTGGATCCCTTCCTTACACCTTATACAAAAATTAACTCCAGATGGATTAAAGATTTAAACATAAGACCTAACACCATAAAAACCCTAGAAGAAAACCTAGGCAAAACCATCCAGGACATAGGAATAGGAGAGGACTACATGACTAAAACACCAAAAGCACTGGAAGCAAAAGCCAAAATTGATAAATGGGATCTAATAAAATTTGAGAGCTTCTGCACTGCAAAAGAAACTATCATTAGAGGGAAGCAGCAACCAACAGAATGGGAAAAAATTTTGCAATCTACCCATCTGGCAAAGGGCTAATATCCAAAATCTACAAAAAAATTTAAACACATTTACATGAAAAAAAAAAACAACCCCATAAAAAAGTTGGTGAAGGATATGAACAGATACGTTTCAAAAGAAGACATTTATGAAACCAACAAATATATGAAAAAAACTCATCATCACTGGTCATTAGAGAAATGCAAATCAAAACCACTTTGAGGTACCATCTCACGTCAGTTAGAATGGCAATCATTAAAAAATCAGGAGACAACAGATTCTGGAGAGGATGTGGAGAAATGGGAAAATTTTACACTGTTGGTGGGAGTGTAAATCAGTTCAACCAGGTGGAAGACTGTGGCGATTTCTCAGGGATCTAGAATTAGAAATACCATTTGACCCAGTAATTCCATTACTGGGTATATACTCAAAGGATTGTAAAACATTCAATTATAAAGGCACATGCACATGTATGTTTATTGTGGCACTGTTTACAATAGCAAAGAATTGGAACCAACCCAAATGCCCATCAATGTTATACTGGATAAAGAAAATGTGGCACCATGGAGTACTATGCAGTGATATATGATGAGTTCATATCCTTTGCAGGAACATGGATGAAGCTGAACACTGCATGTTCTCACTTATAAGTGGGTGTTAAACAATGAGAACACGTGGATACGGGGGGATCATCACACAATGGGGCCTGTCGGAGGGTGGTGAAGCCAGAGGAGGGATATCGGGGGTGGGAGGATTGGGGAGGGATAACATTAGGAGAAACACCTAATGTATATGATGGGGGGATGGATGCAGAAAACCACCAAGACACATGTAAACCTATGTAACAAACCTGCATGTTCTGCACATGTGCCCCAGGATTTAAAGTATAATTTTTTAAAAAGTGAAAAAAATTTTCTTAACCAGGCTGAACTGGCTGAAATGACAGAAATAGAATTCAGAATATGGATAGGAATGAAGATCATCAAGATTCAGGAAGATGGCAAAACCCAATTCAAAGGAACTAAGAATTAAAATAAAACAATACAGGAGCTGAAGGACAAAATGGCCAATATAAAAAAGAACCTAATTAATCTGACAGAGCTGAATAACACAATACAAAAATTTTTCAATGCAATCACAAGTACTAATAGTAGCATAAACCAAGTTGAGATAAGAATCTCAGAACTTGCAGACTGGCTTATTAAAATAAGACAGCCACACAAATATAAAGAACATAATTAAAAAGGAATGAACAAAACGTCTGAGAAATATGGGATTATGTAAAGAGGCCAAATCTATGAACCACTGGCATTCCTGAAAAGGTGGGGGAAAAAAGCAAACAACTTGGAAAACATATTTCAGGATATCATCTATGAAAACAACTTTGCTAGAGAGGCCACAGTCAAATTCAGAAAATACAGAGAACTCCTGCAAGATTTTACACAAAAAGATTATCCCCAATACACGTAACTGTCAGATTTTCCAAGGTTGAAATCAAAGAAAATATGTTAAATGCAGCTAGAGAGAAAGGACAGGTCACCTACAAAGGGAACCCCATCAAGCTAACAGCAGACCTCTCAGCTGAAAATCAGAAGATATTGGAAGCCTATATTTAACATTCCTAAA